GAGACGTGGTTCACGATACCGACCGCCAGTCGCTTTGTCCAAAGCCGACATTGGGAAACAGCACGAATGGACTTGCTTTTTCCATACAAATCGTAGTATATTTGTTGGGACAATTAGTTGGGATATCCCAATAGTGTGCAATTTTCGGGACAAAGTGGATGTCCCAACCCCAAATTTGGTTTTCGGGACATCCGGTGGGGAAGATTTTGTCCCATCTGACGTCCCAATATCGAGTTGGGACATATTTGGGGATGCGGTGGAGATGTTACTACAGTCATCCGGCCTGGTTCGCTTCGCTCCCGGCCTCCGGTGCTCCCAGACATTAGATAGATCATTGCTGTTATACTGAGTCGCTGCGCGGGCGAACGGGCCTAAGCTAGCTCCTGATAGTTCCGGATAAAATGTTTCGCGATTGTTTCGTGACCATGATTCTCTCTTACAACAATGTATTGACACTATTTAGGAGTGTTGGTAATTGTTTCGCAACATGCCAACTAACGTTAATGCGTATTAGTTTGCTGATCGAATGTGATTAATATCCTTATCTAGTGTGAAGGTATACTCCTCCAAGACTTCATATAACCCTTGCGTATAAGTACCTCCGTAAAACTATATTTGGTAGGGGCTGCAAAAATCGGGGAATGACTGTACACCATTTTGCGTTTAATTCCAGCTTATTTTAACTATATTTCCACCAACCTCCTATATACAGTACTTCACCCAATCGCCAATATAATTCACCCAACCTCCATTATATTTTACTCCGATGTAAATTATCGGCGATATATTTCACCCAACCTCCGACATAATTCACTCAACCTACGGTTAATTCCAACTTTCGAAAATATAATTCACCTAACAGTTGTTACTACGTAGTATATTTCGAGATGGGATGCTAGAAAGATCGAAGCGCGTGAAGCGTTTCGCGCGCTTTCACCATTTTTGAATCTGCGCTCAATGGAAGTGGCCATCCCTGCACCATAAACTCCTGTACATCTCTCTGTTTAGTACGAATGATCGCTAACATGACGTTTCAAGACGCTTCGTTCTTAATACTAGGGCCATACTCCCCGATGTTGAACCGGATCGAGAATATGTGGCCAGTGTTGAAGAGCCGCATTAAGACAACTTTTGCGCGTTGCTCGAACAAGTCGCGGCCTTTATGGGCCACCGCCAGACGGACAACAGACTCGTAATGCGTTTCGCATACAATACTTAGAACACACAGCTGACGGAGGGAGCCATATGGACAAATAGACTGTTGAAAAAGTCAAGTACTGTACTAGCTATTTGGGTCAGAGTGGCGGTAAAATCCACACCTAAAAGTACCACTATGAGCGACTTGCTCATAGTGCATGTAAATCGCTACAGAAGTATCGATTGCAACCCCTACATCGTTTATAACCCCCCACGACCTCCTGTCCCCTCCACAACGATTGTGCTTGTAGCTTATCTACATGTGAAAGCATACAACCACGATTCTACGAGGTTAGAGCCACCATTCACGACATCATGACTAGCTTATAGTGTATGAAGATCACCAGGATAGCAGCGACTGCAACCCCTACACCTCCAGAGCCCTTAAGTATCCCCCCTTCCCCTCACAATACTCGACTTGTAGCATCCCCCCAGCCCAATTGCCTAGCACAATATGTGTCTTACAACGCATACTGTGCTCACTCACGTCATTCTTGGCTCATAGTGACAAGCATTTATCGTCTGAATTCCAACATCCCACACATTATTACAGAGCACAAATACGAACAATTGGCATTGCGCGAGATATTGTGTAGTGTAGTTCAATTCTCTCAGGATTGGGCGATATAAGTGGATGGGGCATGCACTTGACAGTGCCAATTGTATATTCGAGTGATATTCGAGTGAGCGTCAAGAACAATAGAGGGTGTGCTAGCCTATTTGGCTTGAGGGATGCTATAAGAATAACGTTGCATTGCCATCTCAATGCGACTGCTTGCATGGTTGAGTACTCTGGTCGAACTCTTAGCCTTGGTTTACTCCGTAGTGGAGTTGCTCGCCATTGATGCGAGCAACAACGACGGGCAATTCACCAGTATATCATCTCCTCTCGTTATCACTATGCTAGTTGTCAGTTAAGGTACCTCCAAAGCACAGCAAACAGCCACGAAAAAGCAGCACGGCCACCGCGCAAACTTCTCTGCAATTTTTGATTTCCAGGTATAATTGGTTTTGATTGGATACGTGGATTTATTTATAGCTAATCACAGTCTTCCAAGACTTCATTATGAAATTTGACGTCAAGAGCCGACTGAAAATGGACTTGGACGTGCTGGGTGTCCTAGCCGCACAATGCCTTCCGTTGGAGTCGCAAACGAGGAATATACTTTCCGAACCGTACGATGTACTACGTAGTAATTACAAGTTCAAGATATCATGTATATACAGCTCCAAATAAGACCCAGGCAGGATCAATTGAAACGGCACACAACTATGGGAGCGTGTAGTGTAGGCTGACTGTCACAAAAGCGCTGCTGCGGGAGGCTAGTGGCGTGAAGTACACTACCATGCACGCTTACTTCGGGTCACCAGGCTCCCGCTACAGTGTCTTATGGCGCTATCTCTTATCCACGCGTACTTCGACGTATGATAAAACATACGAAGTAATAAGAACATTGGAACTGTTGCTAACTGGCCATATTGGGACAACACAGTTCTAGCAAATTTCCGGGACTTTCCCACGGTTCTTCCAAATTTCCGTACCCTAACCCCGGGACTTCGTCCTACCCCTGCGTGCACATACGGTACTTCGAAGTATATGGCTAAATCCTGTATTATGAGTTGAGGTGGTCAGAGTACAAAAATTATGCCTCATTTATACTATAACTAGAGTTTATTTGCTTGAACGGTTTTCAGTCTTGGCTGAACGGTATTCAGATTTGATGAACGTTTTTCAGGGTTATTAGTCCGTGGTACTACAGCACCTTTGTCAGCTGTTATGGTGTGTGGTGACCTACTCTTCAGTATTACTGTAATACTATTAATATTAACCCGCTCGGATTTAATAAGTTACTAGTACAGTATTAATAGTACTAGTAGTAGTACTAGTACACCCTACTACGGTATGCAGCAATACAGTAGTACTATTAATCTATTAATACTACGTAGTACAGTAGTAAGTATGTAGTACTTACTGTTGTACTTCACGAAGTATTCAACCCTTGCCAATGAATTGAATACTACAGTAACGTTAGTATTAATATTAATACTCTTACAGTACTCTACAGTAATGCGACAATGGACTGATTATTCGCCCTGGTTTAATTGGTCTATTTATATTTTATCCGTCCAGTTTTGTCAATTCAATATTTATAAAAACTATGCACCATTCTAATATATTGAGACTCCCTTATATCGTTAGTTCATCTTCCAGAGTCACTACGGCAGTACATGCACAGGTACAATACATGCCGAAACTGCCATTGTCACATAGCCTATGGGTTGCTTTTGCTTTCAGATCATGCGGCCGCGCCGACTTCATCCAACGATTTCAATTATTAATATTTCGAAATATTTCATTTCACAACTGAACATAACTTCATTCAACACTTTGATTGACATATGAATTCCAACGCCGAACTTGGAACTCGGCGGAAGGATACATACCAGGTCCACTATAATACTATAAGTTTACGTATTACTAGTAGTATTTTATTA